TAATTTTGTCTCCTTGTAATAAATAAATAAATCACAAAATAAATCTTTTCAACTTGCAATCGTTTTGTTTTTAGATAAAAAATTCAAAATTTATATGGGGGGGGCGAAATCCCTAAAGGGGGGCGATATTCCTAGGAGATTTGCCCCCATGGGGGCGATATTCCTAGGAGATTTGCCCCCCGGGGAGGGGGGCGAATATCCTAGGAATATCGCCCTCCCCTTTTGAGAGGGGGCGAATCTCCTGTGACACCGGAACTCTGAAAATCGGGGTTCCAGCCCGAACTGAGTTCTGGTGCACCCCTAGTTTTAGATTTAAATTTCTTTTCAAACCAACTATTGTCTGTTTCTAAATAATCTATAGTAATATGTTTCTCAATAGACCTTACCAAACAATACAATTAATGGCGTAAACCTATGTATATAAGAGCAGGGCTTATCATATATATGGGAGGGCTTATAATATATATGGGAGGGCTTATAATATATATGGGAGGGCTTATAATATATATGGGAGGGCTTATAATATATAGTGATTGCGCTTCACATGGTGAAGTGTTGTCCATCGGACAGCACTTCCCTGCCAGTATATAATTATTTATTGCATTTCTTCACAAAAGTGGTTTACAAATCTGAGTAACATGCTTAGCTATCTACAGGAATATTCATTTTTCTAATTAATAGTCCTTACAACACGCCATATTGTAGAGACACAGATTGGTGTACATGATTATTGGGAGGTGGGTGGGTTTTTTAAAATTCCACTTCTTTGCCAAGGTTTGGTCCCTTAACTTATTAGCCAAAAATTTTGCCATAGATGTTAACGCACTGGCTAAAGTCTTGCGAATGAGCAGTGCACGTTGAAACTGCAATCAAATGTCCTTGAGCAAAAAGGGGGCCATTGTACCTATGCACGTGAAGGAAAAACCTTCAGGATAATTTCTGATTGGTTAATCCCAAGTTTGCATCAGTTGTTCACATGCTTAGTAGCCAAACTTCGATAATTACCTGATATTTTGTAATATTAACAAGACTAGAAAACGGCTCCCTTGTTCTACCGAGGTACTTGGACCTTGTACGGATTAATTAATTGTTGTGACGCAGATGCGCTGGCAGACTGAAAACACCCTCGGGCAGATAGAGCCTTCTCGAACATATTACTCCATTAACAGCAATTTATAGCTTTGCTTAAATTGATTATTTAATGAAGTTAAATATGTTGGAAAGAGACAGATAGTTAAAATCGAACAACTGGCAACCAAGAAAGACAACAATAACTTGAAACACATTTTTGTGGCATATATTTTGAGCAGAGAAGTGCTCGAAAACAGTTCCGGCCGAACTGTCTAGAGGCTCTCGCTAACCTAAGTTTTATCTAGAGAAACAGGCGAATCTCAAGACTGCAGAGGGCATGCTTGACTCTGTGCATGTCGTTCAGCGAGTTGAGACCTAGTTGGACTGGTGAACAACTATTGGTATAGGGAACATTACCCAAGGTACTCAAAGCTGGCTGAGGATACACGCAAAAACTGTAGGTTGTTCTAGAGGAACAGGCGGACCTCTAGATAACAGGGGAACAGACGAACCCCCGTTCAGATCCGTCGACATTGAGACCTAGTTGGACTGGTGAACAACTATTGGTATAGGGCACATTACCCGGGGCCGCAACTGATAACCTGACTGACCACATCGAGTCTCTAGGTCTGCTCATTCAGGTCTTCAGTGCGACCTGAATGAGCAGTGATTGCGCTTCACGTGGTGAAGTGTTGTCCATCGGGCAGCACTTCCCTGCCATTAATGACACTCTATACAAAGTATAGGTTGTCGTTTCCGCCATGAGAAGCAGCGCAGAGTCGGCCGGGTCGCCAATACAGTGAAAAATGGGTGGTTAAGAATAAAAATTAGTTTTTGCTTTGCGTTTAGCATGTCTATAAGGCAGATTCGTTAAGTGTTTGAACTTTTGTTGTTGTTTTTATTTGAAAGATCTAATTGCAGACCCATTTCAGTTCATTGCCAACGCAGCCAAGTCTGGTTATGTCAACGAGATCAAAAGGCCTGAGGTTCACTAGAGAAAGCTGTTTGCTTGATGCTGACACTTATGCTAAGGCTGGGTAATCAGGGAAGCCAGGAAAAAACCTGCTGTACAGGAAAACCTGGGTAGGGCCAAGACCACCAGCAGCTCCCCACATAGCTCTATCTTTACAAGTGTAAGAAGAATCAGCATCATGGTAAACAGCATCATACCGAAGACTGCAAATATAATGGCGGAGCAAGGGTTATATTAGTAGTAGTGTTTTTAAAACCCTTTTACTCTGCAAGTTTACAAAGTAGGCTGGCATTTGAACTAGCTGCTTTTTCTACAACCAGTATAAAGTGTTTATAACCATTTTATTCCTGCAAGTATCCAAGTGAGGTTATATTTTGAATTTGCCATTGTTTAAACTGGATTATACGAAGCTTCTGAGCGTTATAAACTACTATTTAAACCTCAGTAAAACCTTGTCCTCGCAATTCATGCAGGAACATTTACCATACATATAGACTGTTCACAAGGTAGAATGTTTTAGAGTTCATAATCAAGCGATGAGGCAGCAATCCGGGGATAGACTTCGTTCAGATAGCAGGAGTGAACATCACCAGTACACATCTAAGTTTGTTGTTCGCCTTAAAAACAAAAGGAAAGACGCAAGAGAAAAATGAGTGCTCTACATGTACAGTGAGAAATTTGCGGAACTAGGTGATTGATGCGGTGAAAGGATAACTCGATAGTTGACCTGGATCTAAGGATGAAAACAGACCTATATTCATTTATGCAATGTTCGTTCATCAAAATCCAAGACTGTCCAAGACTGGTTATGTTAGTGAACATATGCTAATGCCACCTAAACTGACTTATAAAGCAACTTATGCATGCGGATTAGTTGTTTTATGATATTTGATGAAAATCAAATTATTGCTTGCCTCTGCAAATTCCATTGCCAGGCCAGTATTATATAGGTGCACAGAAAGCAAGTATACATGGATCTGGCTGGAGTGTGCTGTATATAGTAAATATATGATAACTTGAAACAGTATAGTGTTTCTCTCAGATTGTGTTTGCCATGCATCCAACTGATGCATAATCTGTTATTATAGGTGGGTGTCGCTAAGTCGGGAACTATAGAACATGGGGAAACACAACTTTACATTCATGTATTGAAGAATTATACCTACATTACATTGGGGGCTTGTCATAGTCGTATGAGCGACTACGTGTATATGTACGTAATGGCAAATCGCGCGCATTTGCAACCATAGGGAAAATAACCACAACACAACTGCGTTTCTTTTTAGAGTTGTTTAAGTGCAGAAATCTCCTGTCGACAGGTATTTTAAGGCAAATTGTATTATTGCCAGCTAGTGTACAATTACACATAGTACACCATTATTGTGCCTTTGTCTTTGGCACTTTAAATATGTATGCAATGACATTGTAGGTTGTTAGTATTATTACCTATATATAAAGCAATTATTAAATTGAAACGATTTTGATTTCCACTTCATTGTACATTGCCCTTAGCATTGCCCTATTTTTATAAAGAATATTGCGGATTTGCGAGATGTATGAATTCCCTTCTGGCTTGTGACCTGATATGATGACTGATCGAGGTCTGGAAAACATCATCTAATAAACTGTATACATGCGTGAAGTCATTCAGTCATACTTCTATCTGAGAAGAGCGTAGAGAACCCATCTTCTCTTCGAATCTTTCCAAGAGAAATAGTTGCGTGTATGAGTATAACTATTCACTACGATCGATCGAGCTATAACTTTCAAGTTTGAAAGACCTGCATTAAATTAAACATGCGTGTATCGACATTCAATTTATTCAGGATTTAGTCCCATTCAGGCACACTCAATAACAACCAAGTATTTTCCCTAAGCATGCAAATTCAAAAGCGGCAACCATGTAGTAGGATTCAGCGGTTTTGCTTACATATGTGTATAATATGTGTATGGTAAAACTATTGCGCAAATTGGTTATATGACACTCAATAAGTGCAGGATTTTCCCAGGCGAGATTAATGAAAAATAACTGGATTAACCTTATTATATAGCTCGTGATGTGTAGCAGATGCAGTTTTTCGAGTTATCAGTACTCACAATAGCACCATAGTTGGTAAATACTGCCAGCCATGTATGGCTTGAATTTAAGGAAAGATACAATAAAGCCGTGTGCAAGCCATGGTATACGTACAGTAACTACGGTTAGTGTAACAAAATATACATCTGCACAAAGAAAAAACATTTAACCATTAACCGCAATTTATAGCTTTGCTTAAATTGATTATTTAAACATACAATCTGTTGACTAAGTAAATTCTGTCATTTAGTTTTAGTCATTAGTGGTAATTTTGCTTTTAGTTCAAGTTTAGTTCTAGTACTTGCTGCTGATTTTGCTTTAGTTCTAGTATAGTTCTAGTTTTTTATCTCTTAAATCGCTTTAGTTCTAGTTTAGTTTTAGTATTTATCTGTTTAATTTATTTAGTTCTAGTTAGTTTTAGTTGACTAAATTATTTTGGCACGACTAAAATAGGGTTTTAGTTCTAGTTGACTAAAACAACAGTACCAGTTTTCCACTTCAATCATACCGAAATGTATTTCTTTGTTTCCTGAGCAGTAGTGTGGAACTAATGAGTATTAAATGACGTTTGACGCAAAAGAAAATGCTACGGTATGTTTATACGATATGGTTGAAGTGGAAACCAGGCTAAATTTTAAAATTTGATGGCGTAGTCGCGTATTTTGCTGATAAAATGAAAATAATGCTGTGTTCCTAATTTTGAGTTAGGTTTAAAGAAAATAAAGTTTGATGGGTAATATTTTTATGTTATGCATATAGGTTTCGATACAAAAGCTGAATCAGTACTTCCGCAACCTTCATCGCAGAACTGCCAGCAAGGCATTGGTATGTGACAGTGCCAAAGAAAGTAGTGCTAAAAAAGCCAAGCTTTCTACCAGCATGCTGCAAGATGACGAACCGACACAGAAAAAGAATCTTGAGCTTCTCCGATATGCAAAGAAAGGATCGATGTCCGCCAAAACGTACGTTGGTTTGGTTGAAGACACCTTCAATTATCGAAGGACGTTTGTTCAAACATTAGTTTCCTCAGTGACAGAAGTGCTGCAAATGTGCCCATACCTTGGTGAGCCCAAATTTGTAAGTATCTTATTTTTCCAATGTTTGTTTGAATGGTTTTCATCATAAAAGTGTTGTTGTGTCATTAGCTCAGGTGGTGAAGTGTTCTATAAAATGGCTTACTAAACTATTAAACTGAGAATGTGCCTCTATATATAGCTGTTTTATCCTCCACTTTATCTATAGGCATACAAAGCATGATCTTACTCATTGAGGGGAGAGTCAACCTATCCCATGCATTTAGGTAAGACTCTTCCCCTGACGAGTATATAATCGTTTGGCATGATTACAATGTGGTTGCTTTGTGGGGAATATATGGACTATTGGGTTAAAATTGATATATTTATTTTGTCCTTTTATATGATTCCAGCTAAGAAAGAAGTTTTCAGAATCCTGGGCTGGGAAGGAAAAGTAAAAGACCATATGAATGATGCGAAGACGTCATTAAAGCAGGCATTTAACATTGCTATGGACAATGCAACAGATTATGACATGACCAGCGAAGAGCTCATCAAGGCTGTCGAACTCATGGAGAAAAAAAAACAAAAATAAGAAAGGGGCACATAACAGTATCCTTAAGTTTAAAGATGTAAGTATTTATCATGCTTCATAGACCCTCCCCTTAGTTGACAGGTAAAGTCATCTACTAGCACTTGCTTGTGCCCTAATAGGTTAACCCATTGACCATGCATGCAGCCAACATTATACTCTGTCTAACATCAGACATATTTTACTCTGTCTAATGCCAGACGATTTTACTTGTCAAGGGGGGGGGGAGTCTTGCCACTTAATGGGTTAACTTGCACTACATCAATTACTTGGTGTTAAGATTGATTTGTTCTAATGTATTAAATCATATTTTATAGCCAAGTACCAAGGCAGACATACTATTCAAGGACAAAATGGTCAAGTTTCGTCTTGTTGCATTGGGATCACCCAGCACAATCGAACAGTTATTCATCGCTGGAAGACCAAGCCTTTGTTGAATGCGAAAGTGATGACTTGCTATCCGCGTTTGTTGATCTCATCTCGGCCTACTATGTGTTTCACGTGAAGTATCCTGATGGCATGGCCGGATTCCTATTGTTCCTCCAAGATATTGCCCTCAAGGATACAGATAATGTCTTTCGAGGTGTGTGTGATAATATGTATAGTACCATTTTTAAAGGGATTTTTAACTTTTTAAATTAATATATAGTTCTATAGATTGCATTTTTTGCATTATTTATACATTATTCACCCATTAAATTGTTATAGTGAAATAATACCGAAATTTACCTGAATAGATGCCGATGCGCAATGTCTATTGTAAATTTTGTAACATCCATGTACATTTTGAAACATCCACAGAAAAAGTGCGGTATTTACCGATGTTTTTTACTGCCACGTTTATATTCGCCGGATACACGGGACAACTCAAACACACAATTCAATATTCGTCGGAGGCGTCTATTTAAGTGAAGACGGTATTTGTTTTTAACTTACAGTAGCTTCAGTATTTTCTACGTACAAATAAATATTTTATTGTATAACCATGCATTTGCTTAATTATCATTTTAGCCAAAATTACTCACTGCGTCTGAGTAACACACCTTGTTGAAGGTGTGTTCTGTGGCAAGCATATGGTGTGTTTAGAAGGTGTATGAACACGCCATGGTGTGCCACAGAACACACCTTTTCAAGAACACACCTTAAGGTGTGCCATTTTCGTGACAAACTGATAACACACCTTAAGGTGTGTCAAATTGAGGACAAAAAAGGTGTGTTATTTGAACACACCTTTTTTGGAGTGTAGGTTTCAAAAGCATATAACACATACTTCGACAGAAGTGAAGTATAATTCTTTATTGGGTTTTACAACTTTTATGTACCATTGGTTTTTGTAACCAGGGACGACAAATCTGTGTTGCTAAATCTGATAACACATAGTGAGTTTGCTTCCGTTCCTCTTGATAGAAAGGATGAATCCGGTGAAATTGGGTCAGGCGAGGTTGTAAACCCAATTGCATATACCGATGAATTGTCATGCTCTTTTCTTGGGGTAGACATATCTAAAAATGATGCGGAATCGCTGTTTTCTAATTGGTTTAGAAAAAATGCTAATTTTGAAGTTTGTCACCTATTCATGCTAATTTTGAAATTTGTGATCTAACCTGTAACTCATTGTTTAAGAAAGTGCGCTGTTACTTTGTCACAACATGTCGGTGACAGAGCGAAACATGGTCATTGTGTAAGTAGTGCTTGATTGTATAAGACACTAAGACAGCTGCTTTCAAAATTGAGTTTTATTTAAATGTTCTGTTTTTATACTTGCTGAATGATAAGAGAGTATTAATTCATACTAATTTGTGTGAGGATGTTAGTATTTGGATTTTTACATAATGCAGGTCAAGCTCGAATAGCCACGCGATTTTTGCAGCTGAGTGCTTCAGCGCTTGTCGTGTGTCAGTGTCACAGTTTTTATTGCTCACCAATTATGTATATTAGTTTCTCTACAGCTGCATTTCTGGGTCGTACACAGAATTCAGCATTTTAGACGTATTTTTACTTTTAGTGGTTTTTTGGTTTTCTTTGTAGTTTGCTATCAGACACTAGCTGTTTATAGTGTGACGCCCGCAAAATGTTTCACACATTGAGCATGTATTAATCACTTTCATTCATTTTGGAATTGTAGGATGTTTATGATTTACATGATACTGTATTTATTTCCACTGTATTTCCATGCACAAAGAAGAAAACCATGTATGTAATCAGCATGTAATTGCATAGGTAGCCCACTAAACGACTGAATATAATTTTAAACTGCAGTGAAATTATAAAATTTTACGAAAATAATCACAAATTATCGAAATATATTGCAAAATGTAGCTTATATTAAATTGCCACCAGATTGCACTATCAGCGAACTGACATATATTAAAGTATACCTAAGGTTGGCAAGGTGTTTGAACTGTTTGAACTACACACAAGAAATATGGCCGTAGTATTTTAAAAAGCAGAAAGTAGCCCTAAAAACTACTTCAAAAACTCATTAATAATTCATGAGGAAAACACAAAGAGAAATCATAAGTGTGGCGTGTCTTTATATGTGATAAAACACGCTTCAAATTTCAACTTGTATTTTCTCAGCTAATACAAAGTTATTTTGGAAAATTATTTCGCCAATGCCGTGATCTAACTGAGATGTAGTTCGTGTTTTATCACATATAAAATTCGTAGTTTGTGTTTTATATGTGATAAAACACTCCTACTTGTTTATTAAACAGTACATAAATATAAACAAGGATAATTTTACTAACCTGTCTGTAAATTTTTTTGTCAAAGTACAGCTTTAAATGTTGATAAATTTACGAAAGTTTACAGTGTTTTGTCGAATGTGTGGGATGCTAGCATTCTGTTACTGGACACATTTTTTAAAATAGAACTCTGCTGTTCATTGGCTGTAGCAAGTTTCACCTGAAGAAAATAAATATTTTCGTCTTGGCAAATGAAAGGCGGGCTTCAAGTATGTCCATATTGTGCAAAAAGCAACTAAACTTGCACGATTTCCTGGATCAGTTATAAAGCCTGCTATCATGAACCAAGATCTCATGGAGAATCATTTTTCTCAATTGAGAGCTACAAATAGGCAAAACGAAAATCCAACCTACCTGCTGACCCAAGGAACCCAAAATTCCATTATATTCGGGCAGACAAAAGTAAGCAAGAAATCAAATACTGGCACAAGCCAAAATTCTTCATTCACGAAACTACCAAAAGAAAACCTTTTTAGTAAGAAAAAACATTGCAACACACTGAACAGTGAACACTTATGACATTGCATAGCTATATTAATAGAACTATATACATACTGTGTTAAATTTATAACAAATCTTATATCTCAGTCATGCAACATGAAAATCCTCATTCGGTATTATAGTAATATGCCATATGGACAATTCAGTTCCTAAAATTTAGTTCCTAAATTGTAACATTTCTTGATGAGAAGCATTGCTTAAAATGACAAAATGTCGTTTTCCCTAAATATTTCATGTTTGTTATCTTGTTTTAATATACTGAGGTGCAGTTTTTATGCAGTGCATTAGATATCAGTGTTTTGAATGATTTAGTGGTCTTCAGTACTAGTCGGTAATGTCGTCAGATGGGGTTCACTATATGATTACGGATCTTTCAAATATTATTAAAGTACATCTGTCAGCAAATTAAATCTGATAGGCTCAGCAAATTGATGCATACATGAGTATAAACGTGCCTAAGCCTAAACTTATATAACCGCGTATTCTGTTTAAAGAATTTGCACTTCAAAGCATTTTTACTGATATCTAGAGGAAATTGTGAGGATCTTGTCTGCGATACAGCTAACAGTTTCCTCATCATTGATGTACATGTATATATTATAAATATATAATAGTACAATAAATCATATAGAAATTTGTGAATAACAGCAATAGCAGTGCTGCACCCACAACATGTGACAAATACAGAACCAACATAATTATGCTGAACAGCCTGAACTCAATCTCTAATAACGGCAGTAGCACCAATTAAAGAGACCCCCACACCATCAAAAAAGCTAAGGGACTGGTCATAAAGTAACTGCCAGGCTGAATCGGAGAAAATAAGGATGGGCCATGAAATTATTTTCATTCATGTATAGCAGGATGGGTTGTAAAACTTTCCCAATAACCTACAAGGGGCTTTGAAATAGTTTCTAAGTTCTCAGGATGGGCCACCGGTTTTTTTCAGAAAACTTATTTTCCCCTCTGGCCTACCCTAGCAGTTACTTTATGACCAGTCTTTGCATACATGTTCATTATAGCCATCGGTTGTCAGGTGGTGACAATGGTGAAAGTTGGTGTCAGGTGGTCAGTCGTTTGTCAGATGCTTGTAGTGTAGTGTCGGATGGTGTAGAATGGTTTCAGCTGTTGTCAGGTGGTGAAGATGGTGTAGGGGGGGGGGGGTAATTTTTAACCTACAATTGTGCATATATAGTGTTGCGGCATTTTTTAAAGAACATGTATATACCAACACTACAATTTAATTCTGCACAGTGTTGCCTCGTTCTTTGTGAAAAACATTAATAGCAACACCACAATTGTGCAGATATAGTGTTGCCTCGTTCTTTTGAAAACATGTATATATGAATAAAATCTACAAAGCCAACGATATAAACGCGTTACGGCTAATTGTACATCAATATAGTATTGCCTCGTTCTTTCAAAAAGACGTTTCATACATACTAAACTGCAGTAACAAACGTGTTAAATCCGTTAACGCATTATTATAAAATCTTGAACAACATCAAAAATTGTGTATTTACTTTTCATATGTATACATGCTTATATTCACTTGGAGATTTTAGGCATTTCCGGGCAGCAAACTATAAATTATAGCAGTTATAACATGTATGAGCGAGAAAGTTGGTACAGCTGATCTCAGCTTCATGGCTGTAACCAAGCCAATGTCAATGACAAATACATAAGCCACAGCAGGGTCAAAATGCAAAGTTCAATATATAATATGAAAAATATTTGAAAATCAAACTCCTCGAAAATAATATAATAAATAAAATGTTGGACACGTACAGTGTGGCTATACTGAGCAAAGAAATGAGAGTTTACATGCATGGACTGTAGTCTGTAATAAGACCTGCGGAGTGCAGTGTGCTGCAGCGGTGCTGATGCGCTTGATAGTATGCAACGACTAAAAGCAAAACAAAACAAAACGATGAATATATTTAACTACCGCATGCTAGTTATATTAATTACATCGTTTTGTAATTTACTTTAACGTGTGAAGAACTGTCAGCAAAGACAGCAATACAATATATTATACTCATTTTCTAATTTAGTTGCATTGTTTTCAAACCATCAAAACTGCCAGGAAAGACAGCAATATACATTATACTATACTCAATTTATAATTTACGTCGTCCAGGACTATACGGTTCTATAGATGCCTAAAGGCTTATATAGGCAATTGCACCATTTCCTATAGGCACCTATACGTCACCTATAGACGTTTTTGTATATAACTGCACTAAGACTACTTTCAGAAACATGGCAACAGTAACTCCATGTAATGAATTATTTCCATTTTACGTCTTGAGTACGCTTTAATGTGGTCCAAATTTAGAATCGAAATAAACATGCATGTTTTCATTACCGTTGTTCTGAATTTTAATCCAATATACATATACACCAGCAATTACCGGTATATATTGTTAAGCTGATAGTGTTACTTCATAATCACAGACTGTTAAAAGCAAACTCATCGAGATTTTATTACAGTTTGCTTGCCAGAGGAAACAGCACAGCCAATCATTAGCCTGCGCACAAAGGAATTTGATACAACAGTGCCAAAAAACGTAGTTAGTGTATTCAAGACAGCACAGCCAATCGTTAGCCTGCGTGCAAACGCCTGCCAACACCAGTGGCGTAACGCTCATTTGGGTAGGGTTAGTTTGAAAACTAAGGGCCCCCGACAGTTAGGGGCCCCCATCAGCTACTCGGCATGCCTATCACCCAGAAAACTAGAAAACACAAAAAATGGGAAAACACAAAATTGATAAATAATACTAAATAATAAAGTCTCCATCGACATCGGTAGCTGATTTTTTTTATTCCATCTCAAAAATGAAACAAAAGTTCTTTTTATTAGTTGTTACATGTGTTGGAGACTGTTATTGTTACAGACATGGAATTTTCCAGAACATTGTATAAATATTCAATATAAATGTAATATCTTAGTCAAACAATGACAACAGTCAACAGGGGCCCCCACACCAAATATGCCTAAGGGCCCCCTCTTCCTCCGTTACATCACTGGCCAACACTTATTAGTGTCACATCAAACACAAAAGACTACAACACAACACAAAAGACTACAACACAACACAAAAGACTACAACACAACACAAAACTCTCTATAAATCGATCCAAAAGCAATACCGAATACGTCGTAAAAAACGTAAAACGATTGTTATCTCTAAACAAACGCATGGTTGTAAATCTACTCACGAAATTTCGAACATTCAACCAGAGCGCTATAAACCTGCACATGCTTAGTATAGTCTAATGTTGACCTTGACCTGACAGCTATAAATACACAAAATCAGAAACTGTCTCAAATTTCATTTATAACATATATGTCTCCGTTGGATGCCTCAAAAATCAAAATTTCTCTCATTTATATGTAATACAGTTCAAACATTACGCCTTTATACAGTAAATCTACCCAACCGAACTTGTGTTATTACAGTAAGAAACTGTTGCTTGTAGAAATTAAAGCCTACAATGAAGACTTTTCTGTCAACGCCGCGCAATGGTTTTGTTATAACCACCCTACACCATCTGACAACCATCTGACACATTTCAACCATCATACACCTTCATATACCATCTGACAACCATCTGACACATTTTGACCATCATACACTATCTGTAACATCTTCACCATCTGACAACCCTTCCCTGTATAACCACCCTACACCATCATACACCTTCTGACAACCATCTGTCACATTTCGACCATCATACACCATCTGTACCATCTTCACCATCTGACAATCCTTCCCTCTATAACCACCCTACACCATCATACACCATCTGACAACCATCTGACACACTTCGACCATCATACACCATCTGACAACCCTTCCCTGTACAACCACCTTACACCATCATACACCATCTGACAACCATCTCACACACTTCGACCATCATACACCATCAGACATCAGATGCCTGTATTGGACATTACTCGGTCTTTAAGGCTGCATGAACATATTACAGAGACAAAAATGTCTACAATCGGCGAAGATTCAGAACTGGAATAAGTGCAGGTTGATCTTCTCTAACAATAATGGCTACGACATATTTTGATGTAACTGGGGAACTTGGCATGTTTTCACAATGCAAGATTGCATGTGCAAGTTCTGCTGACAATTTTCCTTTGTTCCACTTCAAGAGATATCGCACATTGTACCCATTGCACAGACGTTGCAATTCATTCTTGGTGCACAGACACGTCAACCCGTTGTCTTTCAACTCGTTCACCAGCAATAACAAACGGACATGGGAAACTTTCTTGCCGGGACTTCTATCCTGCTCAATGTGCTGAAAATGAACTTTCATCCATTTCTCATTTGCTTTTTGTTTCGTCTGGGTTACAGCCTTGCGATGTGCCAGTGATTTTGTGATGTGGTAATCTCTACGGAAGTCACATAGGAATTGCCCAGTACCCATTTTTAAATATTGCACGGTCACTTCTTCATAAATGTCATGGACCAAAACGTATGGAAATAAATAATGTATGTATATACCATAAAAAATGCACTTTGCTGTTCAAGACGAAAACTAGCAGCTGTGATCAGAATTACACCATAATCGGAGCATATAATATTACCTATATATATATATAAAGAACTAATTTATAATCGTGAATTTTGGCCTATCGGATAATAAAAACTGTTTTCAAAATCATGGCTAACAACACTAACCAGCTTTCTTTGGGCTTTAGTTTGAACATGCAAATGTCCTTTATTATACACACTATAATAATTACCTGATCTTCACTAGTTTCCAAATCAAACAACTTGGTAAACTCATCTTTTAAATTCTTGTTGTTAGAAACCTCTTTCATTGAAGTATCAATCATGTCAGTTTGCAAGCATGTGAGCCTTCGAATATTATTTTGTTAACTCTTTCTTGCTAAAGTTGCAGAAAGAAAGCATACGCACCGTCACTAAAATGCAACAAACCTCTTTCACGGAATTGCCATACTTCGAAACCGTTGAGTGTTTCAGGTCTTCTTGTTGTTTGCTCAAGAGTTAGGAAAGGAACGATGTTGTTCTCCAAGAGGGGGGTAATGGGGTATTTTTGTGGTCTGTATTGGGGTAATTTTATTTTTTCGTTCTTCGTTCAGTCATCTTTTTATTAAACGTTTTTCAATCCCGACATGGATGCCGTGTATCGTGCTTGCAGTGTATTCAATATCCGTTCTCTGTTTTCAGCAGTATTTAAGACGGTTATTTCTCGTTTCTGGACAATATATTCTATTAATTTTGTTTCTGGATTTTAGCTATGTTTTGATTGGGGAACGCAGGTTTCAAATTTTATCAATCATGAACATCGACACAATTGTAAACAAATAGGTGAACACACCGCCAAGTAAGGACTGTTTATATTCACCTTTAAGGCCTCTAAATATGGTTGTTGCTTTCATTTCATGTTCCCATTACATTTCGGATTTGTAATAAATTTGTTATTTTACGTGCTTCAAGACTTCCTTCTTTTATTTTTCATGTCTCAAGATCGCTGCATATTATTTCTCGTGCTTCAGGATTGGTACCCCCCATTACCCCCTCCTCCAACAGATTTACTTTCTTTATTGCTCTGGAAACTTTCAATAGAATTCTGTTGAATCCAACGATTTATTGCCAATAACGCATCTGCGACTGCTATCCATCAACTTTTGGATTGCCCATCCTCCAACATATGTGATCTTTCCAAGTCCACCAGCTTCCATGTCAGCCACATTGAAATAGATGGGATCCTGTTCTTCTTGCTTTCTGACTCGCTTTCCTACTTTGGCTGTGAATAGTTGGTACAAGTGAAACACCAGTTGAACTGAAAGACTCCTTTGACCACTGTTGATATCCGACCATTGACCAACGTTAAACACATTTATCATGTCACTTCTGTATATGTTGGTGATAAACAGTTCATTGACCTTCACCATGGCACATGTAAAGTTCTTATTCGTCATGTGAACTTCTTCGAGATTTTCCGTCAAATAGAGTTGGAACACGTCAGCGATTCTATGCCAGAGTATGCAAGATAATAACTCGAAGGAATCCAAATTCTTGATACCGTAGTCTGCTGCTGCTTTAATTGACTTTGTGCATTGGTCATGGCATTTATTGTTCAGCAAACGTGAAAGGAAATTTTTAATGGTGAATCCGACAGGAGGATGAGATAATTCATGACTAAAATCTGACATACACAAAAGCATGTTTTCGAGATTGACAGACACACCAGCATTGGATTCGAAGTGTTGCTTGGCAATGGTTTCATACTAGGTGCATATGTCATACTTGCATGAATCATCTCCACTATCCGAAGAGCATTGGCAATCTTCGTCCACCTTGGTCAACAACTCGTCTAATGTACTGTTTTTACAACAATCGAATGTTGAAACAGGATCTCCAGACTGGCATGTGACTACTGCAGCGAGGGCAGGCCGTGGCGGAAGCAGAAACTGTTGATGAAATCCAAGGATTTGAAGGAATTTTTCTCGTTTGACTCTAGATATTGCCACGTAGGTTTGCCCAGGAGTGAATTCTTCTGAACAATGAACCACAATTTTATCCATAGTTAGACTTTGTGCTTTATGTGCTGTTATTGCGTAGCAGAGCGCAAGAGGATACTGACTATGGCTGCCTTGCATTCTCCCAGTTGCATCATATTTAAACCATTTTGTCGTTGTAAAGACACCATACCAACTTTGGGAAACTGGACGAGAAGCCAATCCTCACCAACATCCTTGCCAAAAAATTGGCCACATATACCGTTTTTCAAATGACAACTTTGATCCAGGGAGAACAGCCAAGATGGACAAATTATGCACTTTTACCGGAAGCCTTTTAAAATATATATGCACTGGTTGAACGTCTCCACACAAGTCGAACTCCCTTGATAATGAACAGAGATACTTCTCCGTTTCATCGTCGCATCACCCCATTTGCAAGACGTCGGAGAGCTTCTATTAGACGATGCTCACTTTCCTCTTGCCTTAGAATTCTTGTCAACTCAAACTGTTGTGGGAAGACATCTTTGAATAACTTCGATTCATAGATTGGAATTCCTGTATTTAGTGGACTTGGAATAGGTTTTAGCTGCCAAAAGTCTCCAACTAAGACTACTTGGATTCCGCCAAATGGTAGAGTATTATGTGATGCAATCTAGTGAATCGTATTGACCAAATTCAAAAGACGTTGACTTGACATCGACATTTCATCCCAAATTAAGACACGAGTATTTTCAAACCTGTTCAAGGACATTCTATCTTTCGAGAGATCACTTGATAAGCATTTGCACAGGTAGTTCGGCCGTCTGCAAACCATAATGAGAATGGATTGTCTTTGACTTGCTATTGTATATGTCACAGGAAATTCCACTTGCGCAAACAATTTGGCATTGCATTCAATTTTTGGTTAACTGCCATCTGATCTCTTTCACTAGAGTAGATTTCCCTACTCCTCCTTTACCAAAGATACACATGTTGTATCCACTTTCAGCAAACTTCAAAATGTCCAGCTGCTCGTTGGTTAACTCAATTTCACTGTCCGACATATCACTCTACAATTCTATAAATGTACATAAAAATGTTCACTAATTAACAAATTATACTCATTACGTATATTAAAAGGTTATGTATGAGAAGTGCTGATGAAATTGTAACATCATAAAATAATATATTTGACTGGTTTGTTATAGAAACATGTGAGAAATATGTTGACGTCTGCTAAACATTCGATGAACCCTAATGAAAATTATTTGTTAAAGTTCACTGAAGATAAAATTATGGCACCCGTTGAGAAATATTGTTATTCATGACATCATAACACTATTACACTAGGTGAAACAAGCCTATACTTATACACATAATAATGGCATAATAATTATGATGATAAAATGACATAAACCATTGGGCACCCTTAAGTTGAAATAGCATAGTCCGTGTATATAAATATAATTTTAAAATATTCAGCTAAATGTGATGATTACTGTAATATTCCAAAACGTTACTCTGGCAAATGCGCTGTTTAGTCACTGACCAGTCAAACAAGTTTTTAGAAGCACACAGTGTGCCATTTTGAATTGTTGTTGGAAGGAGTCTGCCGTCTAGGTTTTAACTGCTGCAATTTGTTTTAACTGTTGATTTAAAAAGGATCATGCCAATAACGTTAAAGGAAAACATAAGTAAATGAAAAAAAACATTGTTTTTGTATTTGTAGTGGAGCTTGATATATTAATACTCGACGTCTGTTTGTTTAAAATGTTCAATTAATTTTGATTCAAATGCTGTTTTTCCCTGTCCTTTTTTACACTATAGTGGCCTCAATCGTTTACTAAATTAAAGTTGTGTTTGTCTTTCAAGATTTTGGGCTCCATGATATGTTGTATTTTGTGTAGCTGGAATTCAAACAGCGCAAAAACAATGTATCACCAGTACAAAAACTGCTTTTTTGTTTTCATTAAAAAATTTCGACAGATTCACGATGCTTCGGATTTGACGAGCTATAATTAAAAGTTGTTTTTAACTTTTTTGGATTATTAACGCTTATTCTAGACAAATTTTACTTGCTTGTGTGTATAGCAGGCATTAAAATATGGATTTTTGCATGGACGCACTTTACCTCCACACCAAGGGCAACAATCACTTGGAAGTGTGTCAACTATAGCTTGAACGTGAATACTTGTTTATAAACGAAGGAAAGGCTTATTGAACATTCGCTAAAGTTCAGTCCCTTTTTAAGGCAAAAGTTTGTTTCAAATAAGTAAAATGTGGGCCGTCAATAACTTTTTCACCGTAACTTGAAAAATAACTTTTTATCTCGAGCTACGAAATCAGACTGGTTATGCAATAATGCAAATATGCCACTAATGATTATATATATTTCGGTGCGGTATCAGTAAATATATCAGTCCTTTTACAAGGAGAGAAAGCATGTAAAATACATGCTATTTTAATGCCTGTTAAGTGTGTAGTATGCAAAAAATGGATAACTTATCCGAGAAGTTATCCGTCTTTTGCATTTTCTTTTTATATATAGTCTTGTATTTAGACTAATAAGGCCACTCACGTTTATTTAAAAACTTTGCTCGTGCCCAAATCCGAGCGACAGTTATATACAATAAAAAATTGAAAACACAACAACTTACCAAATAGTGAAACCACAAACATTTTGACTCTGTTCGTCCATAACTAATTTCCAAAGGAAACTATCGGAAATTGCTTTTAACTTTTGTTCCCACTGTTTTTAAATAATATTTGTAAATTACTTTTGTATTGAGAAAATATAGACAAATGCAATTGTAATCTACTTACCCGTGAATGTAATATTCCTTTGCTTTCTTTTGCTGTTTTTGTTCACATGTTGACTTTTATAAACGTGTTATAAAGTTTGCAAAATATGTTTAAAATATTTTTTTCATTTTTGTTTGTAGCAGGCTAGAGATACCTTGTTACCGCCAGTGGCGTGGTGGCTGGGGGGGGCCGGGGGGGGGCCATAGCGATGGTTTCAAGAGGGGCGCCGAAATGCCATTTGTAAAAATGAACCATGTCAGCCACCCGAATCCGTTTTATCTGAGAGAAAAAAGAAAATTGGAGAACGTAGCCGGTACTGCTCGCAGGCGCTATTCTTTCACGAAGATCAAACTAGGTGCAAATGGCTTTCATACTCGCTAAGTAAGGATTGTCTATTCTGCCTCCCATGTCTCCTATTTTCAGATGAATGTTCAAGAGGCGAAAACACACGCGCCACAACCAAGCAAATGCTTTTACGAATGCTGGGTACTCGAACTGGAAGAAGCAGTACAGTAATATCACAAAGCACGAAAAGTTCGAAAGTCATATAAATGCCAAGATTGCTCAAGTTATCTTTTTGCAAGGACGATCAATCGATTCGTGCTTGAAGCAACAAGAAAAGACCGAAATTTTGCGTAGGAAGAAAGAAGTCGTTGCAAACCGCAGCCATTATGAAACGTGTTGTCGACACTGTTGTACATTTGGGAAAGCAGGGACTTGCTTCCAGAGGGCATCGAGAATTGCTAATTGATGACCCAGAAGCAAACAAAGGAAATTTTCTAGAGTCGCTGAATTACCTGTCGACCTTACGATATAACAACTGCGAATCATCTTGAAAAGGTTAGAAATCAACAAGCTATATCGAGAAGAAAGGGCGGGAAAAAAGGTGCCAAAGGACGGGGTTCGAAACTAACTTTCCTCAGCAACGATACGCAGAATAATGTGATCAAAATTATTGGAAGAGAAATCGCCTCGCAAATTGTCAAAGAAATCGGTAATTGCAGAGCATGGGCATTAATAGCCGACACCACACCGGATGTCAGTCACCACGAGCAGCTTAGTATTTGTGCAAGGATCGTTAATCGTAATGGAAAATGCTCCGAGCATCTTTTGTCTTGCAAAAGAGCTTCCGGTACAAGAGCAATGGAACTATACAATCTAATCTCAGAAACACTTGTCTCGAAAGGTGTGTCGTTTGGTAAACTCGTAGCACAAACATACGACGGCGCTTCGAATATGAGCGGCTGCTACAACGGCTTCCAAGCGATCATCAAGGAGAAAGGTGGAAAGCATGTTGCTTTTGTCCACTGTTATGCGCATACGCTTAATCTTGTTTTGTCCGACTCTGCAAGTGTTGATGTTCAAGTAATAAGCCTCTTCAATGACCTCGAAGCCTTGTACGTTCTCTTTAGCAAGACACAAAGAATCCATGATTTGTTCGAAGCTGTCCAACTGGAAGAGAATCTGAAAGTCCTTTCCCTAAAGAGACTTAATACTGTTCGTTGGCATTCACACGAGTTGTGTCTAAAGGTCCTTCTCTCTCGTTATGACTGCATTTTAAGTGTCCTGGAAACCGTTGCGTTGGACAGTTTAATTGATGGAAACCCACGAAAAACGAGCATTGGCTTATTGAAGCAGATTCAAACAAAGCAGTTTCTGGCTACCGCGTACCTCTTTCGAGAAATATTTGCATCCACTGGTCTGCTAAGCCGATATTTACAACACGTTGATGTTGATTTTGGAAAAGCCCTGGGTATGGTCGAAAGCGCGGTTGACGAGCTCAATGAATTGCGTAAAGAACCGGAGCTAATTATCAGATACGTTGAGCAAAAACACGACTCCCCCAGCGTGACTTGGCAACAACCAAGAATCAGACGTCGAAGACGAATGGATGATGAAAATGCCGAAGACGAACCTGCTGAAACACCAGAAGATCACTGGAAACGTAACACATTTTATGTTTCTGTGGACACGATCTTGAATTCATTGAAGAATCGGTTTGAGAAAAACCAACCCTTGCTCCAAGCTTTTTCGTTGTTTGCCCCAAGCCGTTTCCCACAACTTGTGAAGAATTTCAAAACCACACATGATCTTCAAGCGTGCCTTAACACCTTTTGTGAAACGTACAGTATAGATGCGTTTAGATGTGCTGACGAATTGTTCAATTTTGTTCGTTCTTTTGAGAAATTTGACTGTTCAACTGTCTGCCAGCAAGAAGATGATGATGATGACAGCGAAGACGACGAGGGCGACGATGACTATGATGATGATGACGGCGAGGACAACGGATGGTTATGATGATGACGAGGACGAAATCTCAAGCACGTCAGATAATGAGCAGAGCGACAGCAGCGGCAAGAAAGCTGAAAAACAAACGAAGAAAAAAGTTCTATCTTTCTCTGAAGCTCTTTCACTCCTTTGTAACCCAGATTATAGTTTGGTCGATGCGTATCCAACTCTCTGTCATGTTTATGCTATTGCTGTGGCCATTCCAGTTAGTTCGTCGACTGCAGAGCGTTCGTTTTCTGCACTCAAGAGGGTGAAGCCTCGCATTCGCTCATCCATGGTTCAGGAGAGACTTGAATCTTTGCTTTCAATGTCAATCGAGCGTAAAATTTTGCTCAAATGCGATTGTCACACTCACATCCGAACTGTCAAAAGCTCTACTTTGACTTTCATTTGGTTCATTGGTTGTCTTATAAAACTGTACATGTGATATTATGCTCAATTTGCATAAACTATAGCTTATAGTTTACACGTTATTGGCATTTGAGCTGGAACAAAATTATGTTCTCTCATTATCGGCATATGATAGTAAAAATTGTATTATAGTATAATTATATCCGTTGATAATATGTTACAACAAAACCTGACTAACATTGTTTTAGATTGGTACTTGGTGGAAAGCTGTTTCACAAATGTGTTTTCAGAATGCTGGAAATGCCATTTCACAGACTTAGATTTTAAAAAAATTTCTGGAAGAGCATCCCCCCAGACCCTTCTACGTCCCTCGTGCCTACGGCACTCGATGTGTATACTCGCACTAATTTTCGGGAGGCTGGGTGGGGGGGGGGGCGCGCAATAATCGAGATAACTCTTAGGGGCGACAAATTTAACACTGGCCCCCCTTGAAATTTTCGAGCCACCATGCCACTGGTTACCGCCAGTCTCCCCCGGTTTCATGTTTTCCTCGCTTATGGCGAAACTTGCTACAGCCAATCAACAGCAGAGTTTTATTTTGAAAAATGTGTCTAGTAACAGTATGCGAGCATCCTGCATAGTCACAGAGAAAAATATCGACAAAACACTGTGAACTTTCGTAAATATATCAACATTTAAAGCTGTACTTTGACAAAAAAAAGTTAGACAGGTTAGTAAAATTATCCTTGTTTATATTTTTGTAGTTTTTAGGGCTACTAGTCTTTCTGCTTTTTAAAATACTACGGACATATTTCTTGTGTGTAGTTCAAACAGTTCAAACACCTTGCCAACCTTAGGTATACTTTAATATACGTCAGTTCGCTGATAGTGCAATCAGGTGGCGATTTACTATAAGCTACATTTTGCAATATATTTCAATAATTTGTGATTATTTTGTAAAAATTTATAATTTCACTGCAGTTTTAATTTAAATTCAGTCGTTTAGTGGGCTGCCTATGGTAATTGCAAATCATTTCAGTCCAGGCTAAAAAAACAACCGTTTAAATGGCTCTGTTTTGCATGTTTGTTTCATTTTTAAATGCTTTACATATAATCACAGTCTCACACAAGTCAAATAGTCGACTTATCATCGTCTGGATGCTTGACAGAAGCATAACAGGCTTATTCTCCTATTTTCATGACACTCAGATTATTTCAGCCAGGGCTGACATTTCAGCCCGGGTTGACCGGTCGTAAATTACCGACAAAAGCCGACAAAAAGGCAAACAAAATGTCTATACAACGATCAATATGTGAAATGGCAAATATTTGGGTTAAAATATTCATGGCTTAGACATGAGTAATCATTCATTCGGTCTGACTGTTGTGTCTTTTATTGATTTTAGAAATAATTTATCATTTAAACAGCCGAAATCTTCCTTTCAAAAGTTGAAGAGCAAAAAATCAAGCCTTTTATACTCTTGTCGGTTTTTGTCAGTAATTAGTACGACCCGGGTTGACTATAAATATAGCTCTGACTAAACTCAGCTCAGGCTCAAACTGCTCATGTAATCGTGATGCAATTAAAACTATCCATGTAATCAGCCCCTAAGTACTAAGACAATATTACAAATTGATACTATAAAGGAAACTATCATGCAATACTTTTAATGTTTGATACTATGCTTATTGTGCTTTATATTAATCATAATATAAATTATGATTAATATAAAGCAACGCTAATTAATCGTAATTAAGCGACGCTAATTAATCATAATCTGTCAAACACCTTGGTGCTTAGAGGTTCCCTGTTTTATGAGTCAAATGAGTTTATGAGTCAATGAGTCATGAGTCAGTTCAAAAACAATTATTGTTTATACTACACTCAGCAACCAAAATTTCAAAACCTATGTAACTAATAAGGATATCACACACTTTGGATATAAAACCTTGTCTTTGTTAGCAGTGACCGGCATATTGGATCTGTTAATCAATGAAGTGAAGACTGGATACATAGCTGTATACAGACAAATCCATCGCCTGCAAGACAACATTCTCTGATATGAATCCATGCTTGTTTTCGCTCTTTCAACGCTTTTGATCTCGAAAAACTATGGAAATGTACAATATTAATACCATCTTGTGTTCATAGAATCGCTCTCACAAGCACCACAAACACATCTAATCGTACTTGTGTGTCAGTTACTTACTTCAGCAAAAGAATGTTATTATATAAGTTAAAGCAATGACAATGTTGCTGTTGCTTATTTGAAGTAGAGAATGCTGTTTATTGTTATTTTCATTAAAACTGTTAATGTACTATTTAAAAAACGAGCAGGAGTGTTTTATTAGGTTTAAAGCCACGAGCGTGCAGTGCGAGTGGCTTTAGACCTAATAAAACACGACCTGCGAGTTGCATAATAAGTCAAATTTTTATATAAAAATCTTTATATAGTTTGCATAACAATGGTCTTATGTTTAAGTGTTCTTTAGCTGGTATAAAGATGTATGCATGCGACTAATTTCTTACTCACGATTGGATAATTGCTTCATGAATTATTAATGAGTTTTTGAATATTATATTGTCATTTTCATTAAGACTGTTCAGAACATGAATCGTGTCGAAATAAAAAGTTTGTAGTTTACAGAGTGAGACTTTGAAGAATGAAACCCCACTGGCCAGCATGAAACCAGAAAGAGCATCTTCAAATTACGGTAAAATTCATAAATTGCAAAGTTTTGTAGCGAAATAGTTGTAAAATGAGGAAAATATAGCCCTGTGGAGTTCATATATATCTAACCTTTTGAACTGAAAGCTTTCAAATCTCCATTTATGAATGTATGAGTGCTTTCAAGCAACTACTGATGTTTAGACACTGAAAAGCTTTCCCGTATAAGGCAGAATTTTATCAGTATTTCATCTGATTCTTAAATTAAAGGCCATGTAAAGTCTTTAATGTAAACAAATGCTTTGTTTACATTTTGAACTCAGTGCTACAGTTGTAAAATATGATTAGATATATATTATACTGAGTTTTTAAAACTCTTCTGGTTCGCTATGCTTGTAAATGAATACAGACTAGAGATTCACGTCAAGAAAGTTTGGAATATGCGGAATATTAGTAACATCGGGTCCCGACCATTGGAATGTATGCCTGTGCAGAACGTATGAGCAGAACAGACTTTACATGGTCTTTAATTGATTGATTGGTTCCTGGCATAAGAGTATTCTTTACCCAAAATTTCGTAAATATTTTGTGCCCATATTTCTGCAAATATTTCGCATACAGACAAACAAACCGACGAACAAAGGAACAAACAAAGGAACAAACAAAAAATAACCTCCGGGTCATGCTTTGCGGGCTTTTGTTATTGTTTACAATTTACTAAAATACAACAAATAGCAATAAAAATACCTTGTTTGGTACATTTCTGATAAGAATCCGACAAAAAGAGCAAGGATTATGAAAGGATGGTTTAAATATATGACGGATTGTAAACACTTTCCAGATCATCTAGTTTATTCGTCCCGAAAAATGGCCGCCAGCAGGAGTTTGAGCCCGCAAATTCCTGGTGCGACAGTAATCCTTTAAATATTAAGGTAAACCTATTCCAAATACATTTTTAAACTATTCAAATGATGAAAGTTATTGTTGTTTTTTCAGCGTTATTAGCAAGTGGGAGACACCAACATGGCCACCATCTATTCAAATGGGGGTAACCGCTGGAATATTCTTGACTTCAATATTTTACTAAAAGAGATGCGCTATCTAGTCTATATAAGATATCTATGGTTTGCACCTTGAAAATCAAGAAGCATCAATTTTTCTGAACTTTGAAGATACGAGAAATGAACTAGGCATGCTGTCTTTTCAAAAATGGTCTTCATATCAGCAGTGCTGCCACTTTCTGGTTGTTTGCATACTTTGCCATTGTTATTAATATTCTTCCTAAATGTCCCTTCAACAAATTCTTTGACAGTTGCTGGCTGGCCTTGGTATAGTGTGTAGTATGTACGATTGAACGTGAAGCATTGGCCAAATTCCTCAGGTGCTTTGGTATTAAACATTTTTGTCAGGTGCCTATATAGCAGCACAATGCATTTGGATCTGTTTGCATGTATGGTCTTCAACAATGCTTTCTTCTGTTCCAGTGATGGTATCTGTAGCCTTGTCATTATAGGTCTTGATGACCCATTTATCTTTATCTTTACTTACTCTCAGAAAAGCATTTCGGAAACCTCCAGAGGAAAAGTTATCTGTCTCCACCACCAAATCAAGGGGATTTTTAACTGTCACCCATTCCTGGTCCTTGATGTTAAACTTTTCTAGCGTTAATGTCACATGGTTCTTTTTCCTGGGATTAACAAGCTGCCTGGCTTTCATCAACACATCAACAGAAACGATGTACACAGTCTCTTCAATATCTTCATCCTCACTGTTACTTGGAGAGGCAAGGTAGTCAGGCATGCTATTTTGTAACTCGCTTTGAGTTTTACAATACAGTCGAATCATTAATGTACGCGCCCCCCCCCCCCCACTCTGGTTTCATCGGCTGTTAGGAGCTGCTACTTTTGGAGGGAAGATACTTACAGGTGGGTGTTACTTTTGGGTGGTAAGGGACCAGTCATAAAGTAAAAGGGGGGTGGGCTGGGACAAATAGGCGGTGGGTCACTATTTTTAAGCACCGTTGAAGGGGTGGGTCATCGAAAGTTAATTGCAATCATAAGGGTGGGCCATGTGAAAATATGCAGAAATTTTTTCAAGGGCATGTGTATTACAATTCATATTATAAAAATAGAAATAAAATGTATCAGGATCCATTCCTAAAATTTATACCGCAAATGTTAACCTCAAACTTGAAAGCTGAATATACTGTCTTAGCTAATCAGTGGCGGACACTAGGGGGGGGGGGAGGGCTAGGGGGTCCGATCCCCCACCAATAATTTTGAAAGACTGTAAAAATCTTGTACCAAATAACACAAATCACATTCGTATAACACAATTGTCATCATAATATATGTTTATGTACTGTACATGTAACAACACACATTTTATACACACTTTTTGACGGATACTGGGGAGTCAAGTTTTTGCAACAGGCACTTCTTTAAATGTCATTGTCAATTTTTTGTTGTTTCAGAAGAGTATAACAACTGCAAAACAATATTTTAATTCGTATTAAACTATTATGCTCAAAAACAATGGATAATCAATTAACATCATCACTTGTAGCGAATGAATTTAATTAAATTAAAGCACCACAATTTTATTTGTCTAGGGAAGTGTCTATAGCTAGACTCTGCCCATGTTTCACGTTGACATATTTAGATGCAATTTTCCCTAACATTACCTACTTAAGTATTTTGATATTTAACTAAATGATGTACGTCTCGCACAAGACAATTTTACTTATCGACTGTGGAGTGCTTGCCCAAGTATCACCTATTTATACCTAAGGAGTAATTATATATACAAGATATGTTGGATAGTTATATAGATAGATAGATATCTATATAAGATAGTTATTTAATAGATTTCTCCCTAAAAGGGTTTTTCAGAAATTATTTACAGTTACATGCATGCAACAATAATTAAGGTTACAAATATAAGTTTAAACAATTATAAAAGACTATATACAAAGTTTAGTTGGCTATACTAATGCCTAGTTTATACGTCGAATTTCAGTCAAATTTAATGCGTCGAATTTCAGTCAAGTTATGATATCCGACGAAAATTTGACATATAAATTGATTAAATCCGACGGGATGCATTAAATGCGACGCTGTCGAATTTTGATACATGATCAGTCGTGTAATGCGACCGAAACGCAACACTGATTTATACGTTGAATTTCCGTCGCATTTAATAAAATGAATAAATTATTTAAATTAGATTGTTATCCACAACTGTACCCTAAAATCAATAACAGCACACTTTGTGGACTCCACGAACGAGACAGGGTGCAGGGGGGGGGGGGTCAACTGCCCCCCAAATCTTGGAAAACCATGGAAATTCGGACAAATGCTTGGAAAAATCAAGAAAATTCGGGCAGATTTATCAGAAAATAGATTAAATTCAGGCCTAGGTAATTTCATTACAATCCTCCATAAAAATTCAGGCAAACTTTCAACTTCCCCCCTAGAAAGCATCAGCCCCATACGCCTATGGAAAAATTCACCAAATATCGTTGTATTACATGTAAAATGTACATTTGCAAGTTGCAACCATACATCACGTTCTATGGCTATAACAGACGAAGAAATTGAGGGATGGATTCCAAATGTAAGCGTTGGTTACTGCAAAAATTACTGCCCAGAAAAATCTTCCATATCAATGATTTTCTCTTTCATGATGTATGTTCTTCCGTCAATGGAAAATAAATAGACACATAATCCTGGCATATGTGTGTAACCATCACTTCACAAACCTTAATGACAATTTTATAAACTCTATAAGAGGAAAAAAACTGAAAGAAAAAAAGAAACAAAAAAAGAAACTGGCAGCTCTGTTCTAATTTTTTTCTCCAACTGGTTTCCAATCTTGTGAAGAATGGTTGGGAAGATTTGTCGTGACACGCAAAAAGTATTTTTTAAGCGCTTTTCAGAATAGTTTGACTACGGCTGGATACGGTCCAACCCCAACCAATAACTCTACTGTACTGATTTTTCAAATCGACGACATAACGAATTAATATTCGGGGCATTTACACTTCACACAAATTGGAAAGCAGTGCCAAGCATAGCCAAAGAATCTTCTTTTTTCTATTTAATTGCCAATTACAAAATTTACAATTGCTTCTGACGCCTTTCTCTTCTAATTTTCAGGATATATTTCAAGATAATTGCTTTGGTGAACGCCACCATATTTATTTTATAGGCCTTCATCTGTCCATCTTAAAGCCTGCAACACCTGCATGTTTTGATTTTCCGACCAAAATTCGACGTCTAAACTGCACGCAACACTTCGGTTGAATTTCCGTTGCATAATTGTCACATTAAATTCAACGAATTAAATTCAACTGAAATTCGACGTATAAACTAGGTCTAAATGTTATCTTTTACAAGCAAATGTTTTTTAAGTGCTAACTTAAAAATTTTAAGAGAAGAGCAGTCTTTCAAGTTCTTGTCTAAAAAGACAGCTCTTCTCTTAAAAATTTTATATCCAATCTATAGGGGTTAAAAGTCAAGTCAATATTCTTTTGCCTTTTATTGATGTACAATATTTTTTACCACAACACAGCACTATCTGTGCATCAAAGTAGGATTTACATCAATGTTGGAATTGATTATATTATATTAGCCAAGTGAACATTATTTTGTGTGACTTCCTTTTGATTTTAAAATAGGTTTAACTCTTCCCGGCTTAGATTCAACAAGAGTTCCAAGTACTGCTGGCTTAAAGTGCATATGTCACAATTACCATTTTTCTCAAAAATAGGCTGTGGCGAGACAATTCGAATTATATATGTCTTACCTGCAACGGATAAATACTTCCAGAGATATTTTAGCTCAAACATGCCAAAAAATGGAGTTTCTTAAAACATGGCCAGGAGAAGAGTCTGAGTATGAATCGCCGCTATGACGTCAAAGAAGTAACCAAATATTTCATGACATGTGTTTTTCTACAACATTGCGAGAGCAGGGCCTACAAAAACCTAGAATTTCTGTTGTTCCTTAAAATGTCTGCTTCTGAATCTTACTCTGACGATAGTTCGACATTGTATGACTCCGATTTGGATACAAGCAAGGAATACAAGCTAGAAGTGGAAGAATGACTCGCCTTCAGAGAAAGAGTTGCAAGAAGAAATATAAACTCAGGCTCAAGCACACTGCAATGATCAAAATAGTCCTGGAGCAGTGGTTGTTCCTTACAAGGAAGAGCCTATAGCAGATGATGATTGGGTTGAGCGATATGAAGCAGAAAAAGAGACCGTGAGAATTCACTTTATATTTATTCACAATAGTAAATAGCAAAAGATATTCTATGGCATGTCACATTGCCTCGTGTTTGGACTTTTATAGACTTTATACAGATTTGAGTAAATCATATATGTTTTTTTATTTAACCCTTAGAGTGCTGAATTAATTTACCGAAAATCTCATTATTTAGTTTCACTGCGGTTTTTAAACTTTTTGAAGAGAATTTGCTGAATGTTAACACTAAAAGAGATCAAAAGGCTATCCCGGGGGGGTGTGGCCCTGCACAGATTTACAGGGCTTTCAAACTCAAAAATATGCACGCAATTAAGCAATTCTTGTTGCACACACGATCTTAGTATTCAATAAATAAGGTGTTTTTAACTTTTTTCCAGTGCTATTTTAGTAACTTTAGAAAAACAAACATACACACCAAATAAGCGTATTGTTCAGTGTTTAAACTTGAATTACGTAACGAAACAAAGTACGTAACAAATTGAATAATCTAACAAAGTTTACTACCATTAAAGTGATGTTAAAGTCATGTAAGTGAATATTCTGTTCAATATAAGCGATTATGTCTTAAAAAAATAGCGAATATCTGAAGGCATAGTTAAAAAAAAAATCACACTTTCTGGTGGTTTTACTGCCATTCGTAATCAAACGCAATTTTGCAATGGCAGTGCTTTATAAATACACACAGCAAACATTGTTTTCACGCCACACATCTGATTTTGCTAATTTTGCAGTTGACACGTTTTAATTTACTTCAGCACCAGGCTAGTTAAAAGGTAAACGCCTAAAGGTGTCAATGTAAACAATGTGAAATCAAAATTGGAACCTATAATAGCGTGTTTGACTGCAAATGGACTGTATAATTATTATACATTGTCAAATTTCTCAACATCACAGTCAGCCAGTTCAATCACTGTCCGATTCTGAAACAGAACATTCTTCGTCGGAGAATGTTAAGTTGCTGTCACTGTCATTGTCAACTGCCAAAGAGTCAGCCAGCTATTATAGTTTAGCACAGTTCAGGAAAGCGATCACTCCACCAATGGTCCAAGAGAAACACCTCGTTGATAACACCTCGTTGATTTTGTAACATTTCAAGTGTGCATAATTTGCATACAGTGAAAAGGTTTTTACAAAACATTGTTTTCGGATTGGTTTAGAAACTTAATTGCTTATTTTAAAGACTATTGGTTGATTTGTTCCGTGGAGAAATTCAAAACAAATCAGACAACAAATTATTAAAACATACACTTCACTCCAATGTCTGATATTTGCGCGCGGGATCAATCGCTCGCTTTGTTGAGTCTGGGCGTGTGTGGGCGCACGCGAGGTGCAAGTGTAACAACTGCGACACAAGTCTGTTACAGAACGAGTATGAAACTCGATGTTGTCAAGGCATTGAGTTCCAATGATGTCCTACAAGACGTCGAAATACCCCCTACTTGTGTTCTTAATCACCCAGGATTTAGAATCAATTGCCTGGAGAAATGATCCTTAAAAATGGCTGTACCAAAATACAAAACAAAAATTGGAAAAAGATATCGCCAACAAGGATCAGAAGAAACATGAGTTTTTTCGCTATAAATCTGCTTTGTACAATGGGCCATCTATTTAAAATTCACCCCCTGTGGACGAGTTCAGTAAAATTTGAACCCCTAAGAAAAAAGATCAAGGTGCTGACACTCCCCCCCCCCCCAAATTAAGAAATGTTTGCCTTACCCATAAAAAACCCCACAAAGATCAAAAGGTGCCGATGAACACAACCCCTCAGAAACGGTTTTTCCAAACCCCCTCAGAAATTCTAGTCCATACTGGGTGGAGGGTGTACATTAAATGGAATGACCCCAATTTCACTTATTTATTTGCATAGCCACTCGAAATAACAAAAATCTACTATTTGTCCTTGGTATCTGACAAACTATGTAGAATACACCCTTTCGATAATTACGTCATTTGGCCTTGGAGCCTTGCTCTAGTGAATCATGAACCAGTCACAGTATGTGTGTTGTAATTATTGAAAGGGTTATTGAATTGAAATATATAATCATGAATTCAAATATTTTTACTTTCATTTTAGATTCTTTCGCTCAATAGCATACCGTGAATTTTCACATAATAAACAGTTCACAATATGTTGCCAATCCCAAGAAACTGCGCAACTGGGAAACATCTTCTGGCTCTTTCATGTTAACTAGTGCTGCAATTTTGGTTTTGTCTGCAGAAATGCCATCCTTTGATAATGTGTAACCATAGAACCAAATGCTGTCTAAATTAAACTTACACTTAGAAACATTAAGGGTAAGATTGTTTTCTGAGAGTCGTTTCATGAAAGCTTCAAGGTGTTTATCATGTTCTTTCTGGGACTTTCCCCGCACAATAATATCATTGGCAATGTTCCTTACTCCCTCCAGTCCTTCAATGGAGTGTTTGTTGAATAACATATTGGAATTGCTCTGGTGCTGAATTTACTCCGACACATAAACGTTTATATTGCATAAGACCTTTGTGGGTGTGAAATGTGGTAAGAGATTGTGACTTCTCATCAAGAAGTAACTGGTGAAACGCGGCTGTCAAGTCCACTTTTGAAAACATTGTAGCACCAGCCATGTCCTCAAAGAGTTCCTCAATATTAGGGATAACATGTCCTTCTCGCTCTATCATTGAGTTCATATGTCGCATGTCTATACATACTCTGACTTCAGCTGGATTATTAGGGTGCAACAACAAGATTTGATACAAAAGGTGTAGGTGTCCCTGATGGAACAAATTCAATACTATCACTTTCCTCTAGTTATTTCAGTTTATTTTCTGTCTGTTTACGGAGATGAAAGGGTATCTTTCGGGGTTTTTGCACAATAGGTTTAACGTTATCATTAAGGTGTAGGTGTACTTCATGACCCTTCAGCTTTCCAATGCCGTTAAAGCCTCTCGGGCATTCCTTTTTAAACTTTGACATGATTGGTGAATCTGGTTGATGGTTCTTAGGAATTTCAACAATCATTTTAACATGAGCCCTTTCAATAATAACTGGAATGGTTTTAACTGCTTGTGGATTTGGGGAAATCTCGTTTTCTACTGGTGGGGTAACAACAAAAACATACGAATGTTCATCAGAAGAATTTGATTGCTTTTCAGTACAATTAAGGTGGCTCAATACAGTTTTTGAAATATGACAAAATCGTGATTTAGATTTAATTTTTTGAAGAGAGGTTTCTTGTTAGAAGACAAAAATTGTACCACATATATTGAGCAATCTTCTAAGAGTTGAAAATTGTTTACAAAAATGACGTCATTAACGTTGCTATGGTAACAATGATATTTCAATATGGCCGACATTTTACCTTTTAACACATTTTAATCGAAAAAAGGCCGGTTACCCCCATTTTTTATTTTGTGAAACGTTTTCATTTAGAAAAATGAATGATATGAACAAGTTTAAAAAAATTTAAAAACCTGATTTTTTGTGATAAATATTTTTTAGATCTACAGAATTTTTTTAAACTTGTTCACATAATTTATTTTTCTGAATGGAAACGTTTAACGAAATAAAAAATGGGGGTAACAGTGCTTTTTTGTCGAGTAAAATGTGTTAAAAGGTAAAATGTTGGCCATATTGAAATGTCATTGTTACCATAGCAACCGGTTATGACGTAATTTTTGTGAACAATTTTCAACTCTTAGAAAATTGCTCATGGTACAATTTTTGTCGTCTAACAAATAACCTCTCTTTAAAAAATTAAATCTAAATCACAATTTTGTCATATTTCAAAATAATAATTTTCCCCACAATTATAACATAGTTTCTTACCATTCTGTTGCTGCTCATGTGAATTTTCTTAGCCCGCATTCTTGAGTTGGTAGGAGTATCAATTGCTTGTAGGATACTGGGTTGCTGATTAATGTTGCTGTCTGTTTGTTCGTTCATGATACTGACTTGGCTTTTCTTGTTGGTTATGTATAGCATTGACCACACTCGAGGAGGGAGCTAAATGCCCACAATCTTCTTCTAATGTTTTGACAGCTATATCTGTTATTTTAAGAGATCTTGCATATGCTAATATGTTTGCTAATGATAGATCATCCTGAATGGCTTCTCGTCTCACTCACGATGATAAACATCCTTCAACAAGCTGTATTTTAAGGTTACAGGACACCCTTTTTGGTGTTTTGCGGAAAATCGCTACTGCGCGCTCAAAATTATTCCGATTTTCATCAAATTTTCACCAAATGTTAGCCAGTGCATGCAAAATATGATAAAGTTGTAAAATTGACAAACAAAATAATGTAAGAATTATTCAGGAAAATCTTAAGTCGCGGTACCTTTATGCTTTTGAGTTATGTTCCTGCTGGTTTTAAGATATATTTATGAAAATATCATTTTTATACAGTAAAATAGTTGTTCTAAAAAATTGTGTTTCGGAAATTTTTGTTTATTTCGTCATTCTGCAGATATGGCGATTTCTTTGACGACTGCAATATATTTCTGAATCGTTTGTGTGAATTGCTCCTTATTATTAAAATATCCAAAATTAGAACAAATCCGAAAACAATTTTGAAACTGACGTCTTTAGCTATGTCCTGTGAAAAGTTGACAAAAATTTGTTAAAACCCGCAAGGAGCACAACTCGTTTAAAAATCGGTAATTGTCATAAAATTCTTCGGGAGAAAATTGAATTTGAATATTACATTTTCAATGTTTTTCTTGTTGCAAGCGAAATGTATTTTATTAAATAACTCTGCGAGTTTTCAACATTTTCTGTCCAAACTTGGTCAGATAGTAGAACTAGTCTAATGCTTTCATGCAAACCAATAAAAAAATTTTAGGCAAACTTAACACTCACTCAAAGGTGTTCTTAATGATAATAATTTTGAATTTACATAGCGGGACTAAATTGTCGTGCTGGCTACGCTACTGTATAACAGCAGAGCATGTTTCCGAGTATCATCTTTTATATCCATAGCAACCAGAAACTGTACGTACTGCCGTAACCATTCTTTCCATCGTAAAGATAATGTAGTTGGATCCGAATACAAATAAAAATTTCCCGAACCTGACAAATCCATTGCAGTCGCCATATTGGATTATTCACAAAATTTTATTGATTTTATGATTTCAATTTCTGAATTTAAAATGTGATAACACTAATCCAACATGTATTGTGTCCATTATCAATTATAATGTTTCCAGAGTAAAATGTTGTTGCAATTTTAGTCCTCGTCGCCAATATAATGTACTCAAACTCAACAGTTTTATTCAATCTACAATTTAAGCTTTCACTCAGTCACGCCATCTTGAATTTTTCGCCAGTCTCCCGTCTCTGACCCGTACAGCACAGCATTATAAGGTTTATTAGTGGCAATTAGCACAGGGCAGCCGGTATAATTCTCAGGCCATGGACAAAATATTTTATGTTGGCCCCTAATACTAAAATAACTACATGCTTTTCCATCCACTTCAATGCATTTTGAGGGGCCTTCTAAATATTTGGTTCTCTCACTATTTGGGGGCCTAGGGCAAAGTGCCCCCCCCCCCTCTCAGTGCCACTGCAATAACTTTGTATGTGTGAATAAACAAGGGCAGATTTCGTGCTCGACCAATCAATGCATTTGTTTACATTTTCACTCTCAGCCAATCATAATGCAAGAAACACAAAATTTACACCAAGGCGAACTAGAAAATATTGCTGTCTTCTCGGGCTTCCGTGAGATTCAATTTTGACTTTTTAAATTTAAAACAAAAAGATTATGATTTAAATTTCAACCTAGAGCGGAAAATATCCATGTTTAAAATTTTTCCTTATGTCGTGTATACAAATTTGAGTAATCTAATTTGACTGCAATAAAACTAAAATTGCTATGTTTTCTCTTCTTTTAAGTTTTTGTTGGAGAATTCCTTTTAGCTCTTGTTGCAAATTGTTTTGGTCAATGTTTTATATCGAAACCTAGACGGTAACACGTTTATATAGCACTTGATTTAAAAATATATAGTCGCATGCTTGCGATCATACAGGAAATCAATACAAAAATATTGTCTGACCGATTTTGCAGAAAATCAGACTCTCTAAACACGTTATCTTCTAGGTTATGAAATAATACATTGACCAAAATGATTCTCAACAAGAGCGAAAAAGAGTTTTCCAACAAAAACGTAAAGCAGAGAAAATATAGCAATTTTTAGTTTTATTGCAGTCAAATTAGATTACTCAAATTTGTATATGTGACATAGGGAAAAATTCTAAACATGGATATTTTCCGTTCTAGGTCGGAATTTAAAAAAAGACCACGGCAAAGTTTTAGATTTTAACGTGCTGCATCATAATCTTTTGGTTTTACAAAAAAAAGTTATAATTGAATCTCACGGAAGCCCGAGAAGACGGCAATATTTTCTAGCTCACCTTGGTGTAAATTTCTCGTTTCCTGCATTATGATTAGCTGAGACCGATAATGTAAACAAATGCGCTGACTGGTCGAGCACAAAATCTGCCCTTCTTGTGTGAATATGATATATATGCACAATTACCTAATATTCATATGCCAGGATAGGAATAAGCAATCATCTTTGGTACAAACTGGTTCAACACCGAGTGAAACCCCTCAACACAGCTTGTTTGAGATAAAGGAGATGCTTTCAGGATTCCTTTCTTTAACTTCTTGTTTTTCAATGCCTTGCAAACTTTCTCTACAGTTAATAGACATAAGATGGTTTGGAAAGTGGGCAGTTTTGGAATATGTCTTTGATCCATGCTTGGAAGGGTCACAATACAATACAATACAATACAATACAATTTATTCAGTACCGGTAGTAATACATACATAAATATAAAATAAAGATAAAGTTACGAAAAGAAGGTACTAGCTAACTGTAATAACCAAAAGGCTAATCGAGACAGTCAGCGAATTTGATTAGTAACAAAATATATTTTAGTGGGTAAACTGAATAAATAAAACACATGCAATAAAGATTTCAAAATGGACAATTTTGATGCTATAAGCTAATATGAATTCAATATATTATTTTTAAGTTTGTTTTTAAACTCTGATTTAGAAAGACCCTTAAGATTTTCATCAATTGAATTCCACACATTACTGCCAACAAAACGTATATTAAATTTTCCATAGTTGGTTCTTACTTTTGGAAGGGAGTATGACGATCTCGAAGCAAGTCTGGTGTTATAATTATGTTTCTGGCTTACTAATGCAAAATACTCATCAAATACGTGAGGAAGTCGACCTGTATGAAAGTCATACATGAATGGTGCATTATGATAAAAAATAAGGTCATGAAACTTGAGAAAACGAAGTTGAATGAAGAGAGGGTTAGTATGATCCTGATAGTTAGAAAATGTTATTAAACGAATAATCTTTTTTTGTAAGATAGCTAATGGATTCACTGTTGTATTGTACGTGTTATCCCAAGCAACTAGAGCGTATGTAAGAAACGGATAGATAAGTGAATAATATAAAATTATTGTGTGCATCAAATAGTGTGCATCGTATTACAAATAGTGTGCATCGTATTACAAATGGCATAATAATACATATCGAATTTATACCTAATTTACATTTGAAATAATATCAACTTTTACATCTGTTGGCCATCTGTTGGGAATTTCGTTTGCTAGCTCTGAAGTATTAAAGCTATGCCTGGCCGTAATTGTGCATTTTTTGTTGTTAATTAACAAGCAAAAAGCACCAAATTTCATTGTTTTGAATACCAGTCATATTAAGCTCGCACAAAAGTGAATATAAGTTGTCAATAAAAAAGGAAACTTGGGAGAAATGGCTTGAACTTATTTTTAGAACCAGAGCGATTACACCAGAACCGTGAAGAAATGAATATCCAATAATAATATATATTCCATAAGGTAGATACTCTACATAGGAACAGAATTTGGGATTGCATTTAGCTTCCATTTATCTTTGTGTACATACACTTGAAATTTCTGGAATGTTATTGGGAACTTTGGTGTCAAATATATTTTGCTAATCTCATGTTGATCACTTTAGACCATTCTGATGTCACATGAAGTAACTTTGCTATAAGTATAAAATATGTATATGAATGTAAAGGAATTGTCCAAGCTAGTATGTTAACATTTTAATGTTTTGTAGAATTTTACACTCCATGCACTTTAGCAATTTAATCCACAGGCCCTGCATGGCTTTTCAACTCCCAGCTCTATACAAGCCCACTTTGCTCTTCACATGTCTCTCCAACTTCCCCTTGTTACTGTTTGAGGGCTGCCTTACTGAAACTCTAAAAGTGTGTAGATGCAAGTGCCACCCAAATACACCCCCTCCCACCGGATCTCCTAATATCAGCCATAGGCTAAACATATAAGTTATCACACAATGGCTTTCTAACAACAAATAAAATATAATATGCCAATCTACTGTGAGCAACAACAAAAATGTCCTGACCTGCATAATACATTACTTTATAAATGTGTATGAACACATTTTTCTGTTTCCGTTAATGCCTAGCAGTGAAAATGACACTTTTTCCCAACCACCTCGCATAAATTTCCTTTTGGGGATCTTTCTGGAATGACTCAATGAGATTGCTTACGCTTGTAGTTTTCAAATATATATTTACAAAAATCAGATAAAAACTTGACATAATTTACAAGTTTGGTTTAACCCATTGAGTGGCAGCACTCTCCCCCTGACAAGTAAAATCATCTGGTGTTATAATACCTTATTGAATTCTGATAATTTAATTGGCTGTTTATGGTCACATGATATTGAATAGAAAATTCCATTTCCCAAGAGTGGAATGGAATACATTCCATTGCACTCTTTACAAGTGCAATTGTACTACTGTAAACCTCCAACTATAAGCCCTGGGCTTATATTCTTTCATATTTTTGATGGGCTTATACGAGGGGGGGGGGGCTTATATATTGGGGGGGCTTATACATGGACGATCTTTTATGTTAGTGTAATAGTGATAAACAAGTACTAAACAAGCATACTGTTGTAATAATAGTGATTAATAGTGGTAATAGTGATAAACAAGTTGGCTTATATTTGGGGGGGGGGGGCTTATATTTGGAATGAGGTGAGTGTTAGTACATGTGGTAGGCTTATATCCAGGGGGGCTTATATTCGGAGGTTTACAGTATATGTTTTATTCCATTGCACTCTTTGTGTTTTCGATTAGTCTATCTTGGTGTTATATAAAACAAATAATGAATGTTTGTGAGTGCAATGGTAAGATTATTTTCATTCGGTGAAAGATGGAGTGTTCCATTCAACTCGGCTATTGCCTTGTCGAATGGAACATTCCATCTTTCACCGAATGAAAATATTTTTACCATTGCACTCATAAACATTCATTATTTGTATATTAGACAGAGTAAAATAATAAAGTAGAGTGCATTGCCACTTAAAGGTTAATATTGTGTGGTTATTTTGTTCATGTAACTAAAAGTTGTATTGAATTGTCTGCTTCAAAGTGTATTTTAATTAATTAACTGTTTTTCAAATCCTTTTGCAATGCCTTAGACTTTCTTTGTTTTTCTCTAATTTTGTATTGAGTAATATAATCTCTGGCATATGAGAATGGTCTTACTTTCAAAAAAAGTTTTACAATGTTTTCTAAACACAACTTTCGTGTGTCACCAGATGGATTAACTCCAGATGATACCACAATATTATCCACAATGATTTTACAATGGGCGTGCTAATGCCTTATAACAAATAACATCCACTGGGATATTTCTGAAGACTTCCTTTGATTTGTTAACTTCTCTACGAAAGTTTATTTCTGCCTCTTGCAAAATTCCTATGAGGTCATCTGATGGGTTGACAAGACCGCCTCTGTTTGGAGCTTGTATGAAGCTGTTATTTTCTTGCTCCGACTGCAGGCTCCTAAGTAATCCTTGGAGTTCATTGTTCTCTGATTCAGTCTTTTTCTTTCTTGCACTCGTTAATTTCCTAACAACATATCCAGCAATATAAGAAAGAGGTCCCATGCTTCAATCTTTTCACATTCTTTTGTTGTGTTCTCAGTGGTGGTGACTGAAGCATCACCTCTTCCACTTACATTATAGAATGATATGAAATGGTCTGGAATATGTATCATTACAAGGTTGGTAGTACGAGAGTCTGCCAAATCAAGAAGAGTCGTCAACGTAGCATTAAACCATAGAAAGATTTAAGCAATTTGTCTTGATTCTTGTTTTTACAACATTTTGAGTATAAAGGCTCAACCTCATTGAAGAGTGCATCGTTCGCAATAGCATTTTTAATAGAGGATTCTATTTCTTCCCCATACAATTTTTTGTTGTGTCTTTATTGAGTGGTGTTGTATTGCTACCCTCAGAAGGTGCCAGAAACATCATCGACATGTTTTGACTTTGTTCTTTGTCAAACCGCCTTTCGATTTACAAATCTTGTTACAAATATTGCAAGGATAAACCATAAGATCATCAATCTCGTTCAACATGTTTATAAATTCATTTTCCACCGATAGGTCATCATTTTCAACAATATCAATTGCAATATTCATGTGGAAAGCATCTTCATCGAATAACGTTGTTTAGTTCCTTGCTGCTTGACGATTGGCTTTACACTCGACGGCTTTACACTCGACATTATTTCTTCCAAACCTCCCTTAGAAGTTTCCTTCATTTCAATTTAAGTTGTATCCTTTTAAAAACACTTTTTATAAAATTTTTGTTGAACGCATTACTAATCTTAAGTACTTCGCTCAAGGGCATGCACCAAAGGTTCCAACCCTCCCGATTTCTTGGCAAATCTCCCGATCTCCCGATTTATATTTAAACCTCCCGATTTTACAAATGAAAAGAAAAAATGTTACTTTTTCTAAAAGAATCCTTGTAAAAGCCGTTCGCATACGGTAAAAACGGTTGTCGGATCGACAAAAATGCGGTATTTCGCCAAGAGGGGTGTTTTGTACGACAAAGTTTCGTAATATTTCGCATGAAAGGCGGAAATTTACAGTTGTTGTATTCACATATTCACATTCATGTCAAGTTGGAACGTCTGCATGCACTCTATTTAACACGACTTTCGCTTCCTTTGTGGCGCAACATATTTGCCGCCCCTCTTTGAGTTCACTGGCTTTTCAAACTATCTTATTTCTATTAACTGTGTTTTCTCATACACAACAGATTCTAAAATATACACAAATGATGTTTTTGTTTTTATAATGTTAACACTCTATGATGACAGTCTGTGTCTACAAAACCTGTTTTATCACAGAATGCAAACAGGCAATGTGGTGCAACCAAAATGTGCTCCTAAAATAGTTTGCACAGTGCCAGATATCAATATTATCACAACAATTACTTACTGTCATTAAGCCACTCCCTGTGTTCAATGTCACCATGTGCACACCTGTCAAAAATAGGGTGATCAAGGTTTTCGTGCTTGTCAACAATATGGCCAAGAAAGGACACAAATTTAGCCAATATGACTCTTCCATCACCAGATGAAGTTGAGGTAGCACTCCAGGATAGATGGTTCTCACAGGGGTAGATCCAGGGTTGGATCTCCTCACAGTCATTTTCTTTTGCAATTTTTGATGGCACTTTTCAAATTTCTATGATTAATAAATGACATTAAATTTATCACAAGTATCGATTAACCACTTGGAATGTACAGCAGAATCGGCCCATGTAAGGTAATCCATGCACTCATTGGATTCCGGATTCCACTACTTGTATTCTGGATTCCAGATTGGTTGTGGATTTTGGATTCCAGGAAATTGGCTGAGGATAAGGATTCCTCCGATGTTTGGATTCTGGATTGCAATGCTATTAAAAGTCGAATTCTGGATTACCATATATGGGGCGGGTAGAAAGATAACATATTTTGCAACAAACTTTTTCTCAAGTGCCAAAGGTCAAAGTAGTGCTTCACTTCTTTAAGCTTTTCCCTCATATGTTTTTGCTATGGAAGTATGGCAGTCAGTGACAAGTGTGTCATATGTTATTCCACAATTATTGATATATTCCATGCAATGCTGAAATGCATATACTCCATTGCCTGACTAATTCCTGCTTCATTTCCCTAATGTGGACACAAAATATTGAAATTTTGTTATGAAAAAACCCGAATGAAAACAAGAAATATTTATTTTCAAACCTGCACTGAATTGAAGTGTAATATACATGGAGATGTGCAACAGAGTATTGTGTAAGCATAATACTTTGCACTATGTCCCATGCTACCATGCCTTCCATCTCCTGCTATAACCAGTGGTTCTTTGTTTTGTGTAAGTTTGTCAACGAGCTGGCTTTGGTAGTTTTTCCAGTGCAGTTAAATGGCTGGAAATAGCTTATTCTAAAAAAGTTTATGAAAAACAATATGTTGTATGAATCACCATTCAAGGGAACTGATCTGTTTGATAAATGATGAGAACATATACAGGGCTTCAAATTTGCAGTATCCCAATATCCACTAGGCTTGGTATACTGGAAATCACAAGCCCAGTATCCAGTGGGATGTTGAATCTTATTGTATCTTCGACTGATATTTAACTGTAAACATACCTGAGCAAGATTTATTTTCAATTATATTTTACAGTAATTATATTATCAAATTGCTGTGTTTCTGCTATTTAACTGCTCACAATACTAGAATTATCTATAATCCAAATGTGGGATACTAGATTTCAAGTTGTCAAGTATCCCATTGGATACTGATGGAAAATTCAGATTTTAAGCCCTGATATAACATAGTAATTAGCCAATATGGCACACTAAAAGCAACATTGGCCTGGCCATTAGTTGTCACATAATCATCAGTTGTCACTCACATTCTCATTCAGGTTCAATTGTCGCAGTACTAAGACCACTGTTCAGAATAACAGATCTTTCTGTACGAGGGTGCAATTCGGGGTTATAAATGGATGTAGCCCTGTTTGTAGGACCAACTCACCTTCTGATGCCTGAAGAAGTGCTTAGTGAAATGCATGCCACTTCCATATGCCTAAGGACACCTTTAACTTTACTGATTGATGCCACTAAAGTCGCAAAACGTAACAGAAAGTTCCTTGCTGCAATTTTGGTACCCTCCATATTAGGTTGGCTGTGCCACACAGAATCACTTTGCTTGCAGTTGGGATTACCACAGTGAGTACACACAATAACCTTTGTCCCATGTTGGCTAGTCTCAACTAGAGGATTGGCACTTTTGCAGCATGGACAAAACTGAAAAAGGAACATCAGCTGTGACAGAAACGTGATGACAACTCTGGATCAGCCTTCGCGAGGATATTTTCTAACTCCCATTTGTAGACGCCTGGATCTTCACCTGTTCGAAGGTCACAACTTTCGAATAAAGCGTAAAGCATCTCACGTTGGGCAGCAGGACATAAGGATTTCTTCAGTTCAGCGACGGCATCTTTGTATTTTGTACGTCATTTGGCTGGAATTGCATAAAAATGACTGGCAGCTTCACCCCGAAGGAACGCTGGCAGTTTAAAAATCTTATCGTCACACTCCCCAGCTACTTTCCAGCCGTTTGTGTCACAACATGCATCAAACTTGCGCAACCAACACTCGAAATTACCATTGTCAAATCTTCCCGGTAAAATACTTGAAAGACATATTGCTTTAATTTTAGTTTTACCGCTGCAACCAGATTTGTAGCGTCCCGGGATCCCAATAATCATATCACTTCAACACACTCAGAATCTGCTTTATTAAGGACAACCTCTATATATTTATAGTCTAAATAAATAGGGCGTTTACAATGACTACACAATTTACATAAACTATGTCAAGGATGCATGGGCGACACAGAAGGGAGTCTGCCTACCGCAATATGCTAAGTCATCGACACACACGCAAATAATAACATATGACTTGATTGCGAAGAATTCGGTTCCTCTCTTGTAATTCCAGAGAGTAATTGCAATCCGTACCAGCCATTGAAGTGTGAATTCCTCATGATCCGGCTGCTCTATATCCTAAAGAATATCGTTATAAAAAAATTAGAAATATACAGATAAAATATTTTGTAGCACCTTAGTTTAAAACAGTCCACTTTTATTATAAATAGTCAAATATAGTCTTCAACATGAATACATATTGAAGTCACCACAACGTGAAATAATGCTATTTTGCTACTTACATGACGCTCGATATTGATATTCGGTATTTCTATAGCTAAGTCCATTTCTGCTTCAGGTTCAACACAGTCTGATGAACATCCTGGTTCTTGAGGACTGCTTGGTTCATTTCCAGCTGCATACTGAAAATATTATAAGAGAATAAGTTATTGAAGGGCGTGAAGTAAAAATACAAACAAAGAGTTCATTGATAAATGGGTTTTATAAATATTTACTCACCTTGCATTTGATTGCTCTGGCTGCTCTGCCTGAAAGCTGTTTTTCTGTCTCATCCGTACAAAATATAGATGGAAACGATGCAATTCCTAGGTCATCCTTCTTTAGCTTTTGTCGATACGTATTCTCTTGTCCGGGCAAATTCAA